AAACATAGGGATTTAAAACCATGCTCATAACATTTGTTTTAGGTACTTAGCAAGGCACATGCAACTTGTCTGACTGCTCAGTGAAAAGGAAGAGTAAAATTAAACCAAAAAATAAATTGCAATATATGGAGATGCCTAGAATTAAGCCATGGGTAAAACTGACAGCATCTGAAGAGCCCCAGAGCTCTTAGGGTCTTAGAACATCTAAGTATTTCACAACAGTTCTTAACTACCAGGTATGATGGGTTACATAAAGGAAAATATTTGAATTTTATTCCTGGATGCTTTGTCTTTTGTGTATCAACGTCTCTGTTGCTTGTAACTGGGGTCACCATTGCAGCTACTTTACAAGTGTTTCTTCTTGAAGGAGCTGAGTTTGATAAAAGGTAAATCATTTAACAATGTAAGACATTTACTAGTAATTTCTTCATATGGAACTGATGATTTGCCTGTAGATCAAAGATTTGTGAGGCCATAAATACGTAATTAAAAATGCTAACAGTGAAAAGATAACTGTCAATAATGAATTTTCAAAGTTTGTGGGATTTTTGACTAAGCAATTGAGAAACGGAGTAATAAAACAACAGTTTCCATTCTTACAACATCTTTCTGTCTCTCATGAAGCCCATGGCTTGGTGGGATGCCACGCAAAGCTTCAAGTGAAATACTGCTTCAGTGGTGCAGTGAAAAAAAATGCAATTTGAGATTTCTGAGTCTTCTCTCCATTAGACAGGAGGGCTGCCCTACTATTGGGGAACTAAGTTGACCCGAAGTAAACATCTACATTGTGCCCATCTGTAGACACAAGCCACTTAGACAACCTTAGACAGTGCAACAGATAAAGCACTCCTGGGTATGATTCATATAAACCAGAGAGCAATAAGAAATCAGGTGACTGGTGACTTAAACAGCACCCCAAAATGCATATTAGAAATATTAATGTGTTAATTTGTTAATAACATTTGTGAGAAAGAAGCAAGAACGCCACTTCCACCAACAGAATACATTTGATCAATGCACACCATTAAGCATGGAGTTTATGAAAGCATTGAGCAATGCCTCATGACTATTTAAAACACTGTTGCCTCAGGCAGTGCTGTCAGCTGACATTAGTTAATGAAATGGATGGCCACCTGGTCATTTATTTAGCTTCAGCAATGGTTCTGTGCAGTGGTAAATGGCAATTAGATCTGTATTAATTATTTTTTAAATTAAACTAGTCATTCTTTATTACCAGTCTGTGGCATCCTGAAATATTGAACAGAGGCATTGTATTGATTGAAGAAACGCACTCAAAAGATCCATAATATTAATCAATACTGAGATCTTTGTACTGATTCAGGCCTTTCTACCTCATGAAATTAGGTAATTATATATTGAAAAACATGAGATAATACAGAAAGTAATAACATTTTTCTAGGTGTAAAAGTAGAGATTAGGATTCTATTTCGAGTTAGCTTGAAAAATTGCATAAGCATGAAGCCTCTTTTTCCCTAGTTTGTAATAGTGATAAATAGTGAAAAATTATACATACTTTATGTCACTTTCACAATTTTTTGTGTTTCCCAGGGTACAAATAGGGATATTAGAAGAGTGGGATGAAACCTTTGGGTCAATGACAAAGGTAGTGACAGAAGAACAGAGAATTTCCTGATTTCCATCTCCAATTTTGCTTCTCCACAACTGTCCCATTACCCATGGGAACTGCGAATAACACATCTTCCCACACAGAGGCTAAGGCAAAAATACAAGTTACTCATGAACAAGACTTCAGATATTGCATTACTTAAAAATATGTTTTTCATTGTTAGTATACAAAACTAGCCTCAAATTAGCTCAGAGTTATCACCTTGGAAGTCTCTTTTCATAAAAGGTGTCCTACTAAAATAGTTTCTTTTGTTCCTCGCACTCTAGGCAATCTTGCAGATTTCCCAGTTTCACTATTACCATTCAATAAATAGGAGAAGGTGACACTGAGAACTCCTAGTATCTAATAAGCAACATGCCTGTAGCACATGCTTTAACACTAAGTGAAATTTAATAGGGATCTTCCTCACAGTGAGTAACGTGTTCCAATACTTACTTATGTATGCTACTCAGAGGTTAGTGTGCAAAGGCATCTGCAACCTTTGTGCAGGCTGGGAACATCTGATGGAAATGAACTGTCCTTACCTGGTATCCTGATACTTTTGTCTGGGTTTTCTGCAAACACTGGCATCTTGAACCTTGTACACAGAGGTCTTCAGTGTAAGGCTGTCTTTCCCCATCTGTTTCCATTGGTCTTCCCTTTGACTGTACTAATCGTTTACTCTCTCAGATTGTTTTCAAAACTGGGATCCAAACAAGCCCATTAAACTACCGAGTTTTCCGGGGTGACATTTATGGGGGGTGATTGTGTTTTTAGAAAGCCTGAGATTGTTTTGGAAATGTTTTATAATTTAATGGGATAATGACAATTCAGGTGATTAAACAAGCTGTCAGAATGTATGGGAAAATCCAGTTGTTTCTATGATCTGCTACAAGTTACATCTCAGTGTCTCTTAAGTTGTTATTACATGCATATATGCATGATTATGAGTATATATTCATGCATATATGAATATAACTGCAATGATGACTTACAGGACTATAAAATGAATTTGACTGGGTTGGGAAAAATTTCTCTCTCAAGTAAAAGAAGAACCAAAAACCATAGGAGAACATATGTGACACCTCCATTCCCATGCAGTGGCTGTCTTCACTCGAGCTGTGTACTTCAGATGGTTATCCTGCTTTGGCTATGACACTGCATAGCCAAACAGAATCAGGAGGAAAAATGAAAATAAGACTGCCTTCCAGTCCCATCTGCAACTTCAGTGGTAACAGAATTCCTCCTGCAACACTGGTTTTGTGTGGAGGAATTCACAAATAGCTGAAAGCCTCAAAAAAGGAAAGCACACATTCACCTACTACTGCGGAGCAGGAGAAATGTGGCTTAGAAAACAAAACATTATTTCCTTTATGTTACTTTTAATTTTCTCATCCCCTGTATATATTGATGGTAAACTTAGACTTTGTTCCTGTCTCAGTTTAGAGAAGAAAAGCAGATTTCAATTACAGATCATCTATGCCGTTTTTCAACATATAGATCAATAAACCTTGCTTTCCAAAGAGCCAAACTTCAGATAGTTTTCTCCTCTCAACCAACATTTCCCCCTGTAGTATCTACAGTGCACATGAAAGAATTTACTGAGTGTATGTGTACTTTGAAAACACTGGGATTAAAAAAAATAAGTTTTGAATTGGAACATGCACTCTTATGGGCATTTATAGGTGGAAGGGAGCTTGTAAGTATGGGGTTAGTTAAGTACAATAAAAATACGGTGACAAATGGGGGCAACAGAAGCCTGTTCAAGGTTCTCTAATCCCTTACAGTGGAGTTTTATAAACTATGCTTTGTAGATTCCCTATACTGGTCTGAAATGTATTTATTTTTAAATTAAGGAAATTATGAATGTTTTGTGTTAGGATTTTCTGGAAATTTGCATGAAGATTGATTTTTATAGATTAAGAACAAGCACATACTTCTGATTAACTGATCTTTGATCTCCTGTCCTTGGGGAGTTTTTTCCTTTAGGCCCTTTAGATTGTAATTACATTTACAGACAGCTGAAGGACACGTGTGTGACTTCTCTTCAAATGTAAGAAGGTATTTTGCCTATAAACCAGGCCATAATTGTACAAGAATACATGAGGTATTCCTCTTGTCTGTATGCCTTTTCCATGGTTTACTGCAGAGCTGTTTCATGCTAACAGGCTGCCTGGTTGAAGTTTCAGTGTCTGAAAGTAACAGAGTCCCTGCAAAGTTGATAAGTCACTTTACACACTAATTATGTGATTTTAAATTTCAATGGTTTTTCAGAAATTACTCAGAAAATTGCCAAAGATTTCTTGCACAGATTCCTCCCAATGCTTTTAAGAAAATAATCTTCTAAGTAGTTTTACTAATTTAAGGTTACTGAAACTAAAAAGAACTGTGTGGACCAGCTTGCAGGTCCAGATTCAGCTGCTGACTTAGGGACCCACACTGGGACACAACAGCTTGAACCCAGTTATCTGGCCTCCGCAGGGTGCTTCAAAGTTAAATAGGAGCCTATAGAGTTAGAGAAGGGAGTCAGGTGCCTCGGGGCTTCATCAATGTTCAACATGCAGCTGCATACAGCAGATGCTCACTACAGAGCCTGTGTTTACAAACTGACTCTTCTGATTCAGGACTGGTTTATGAAATTTACAGAGGCAATTAATTATCACATAAGTAATTTCTGTAATGGATTTTTTCCTGTCTGCTCCCTCTGGTTGTGGAGCTTCATCACCTTTCCTTCCCAAGTAGGCACACAATTTTTTGCCACTGTTAGTTTTATAAACGCTCTTTCTAAGCCACAGCCTTTGATAAATGATCCTTCATCAGCCTTTACCCGTGGATTAAAATGGAGGCACACATATCCCATAGAGCTGTGTTTAGAAAAGTGTGCTGTGACTAATGAAGAGCATGGTAAATGCCAGCACTGCAAACACTCTATCAGTGCTCAGTGCAGTTCACTCCTCTTCAGGACACACGCTACCAGAGCACATCATCCTACACACAGCACTCTTCTTCAGGTTGGTTTTGTGTGAACTGCAGCGCTATTCTGACCCTGAAAGGGAAATATATTAAATGCTTTGTCTTCTTTCTGCATGAAGAGTGGTGTGTTTTTCCTGTGCTTTGAGATTTTGCACAGAAATTGAGAATTCAGAGTATGAAATGAAGTCAAACATCCCTGCCTGGTCTTACTGACCTTTATTGAGAGCTCAGGTAAAAGCAGTGTGCTGTCATGAAATGGGAGACCGGATTGTAGTGAAATATTTGTGACTAAAAGACAGTTATGAAGAATTAAATTGGACGCTGACCAATGCCAAAAACCATACAAGCAGCACATTTTCTGTCAAAGAATAAACATGATTAAAATGAATTTTTACTGATTTTTTTTTTTTTCAATTAGATGGCACTTGAGGTCTTCAGAGTGTTTTAGTTTCAATCCTTTTTCTTCCAACTGAAGGCTTTATCCAAGCTGTTGGCAATCTTAAGGAAAGACTGAATGAGTAGTACCATTTTTCTAGGAATGAGACTGTTGAGACAAATAACAAGTTAGCTTTATGGTTTTTAGAAAAATGTATTAATAAAGAAGTGATAAATTTATTCTACATGCTCAATCCTTCTAAGTCTGGCAATAACACATTTGGTGCTTCAGTCTTATAAATGGGAGAAATGAATGACAAACCAAGCCATTTTGTGGAAGCCCAACCAGCAGTGGAAGTAGTTGCTGGAAGCAGACAGCTCTAGCCTAGGCATTGCTTCCAGTGCACCATCCCAGCAAAATTTCTATACCCAACTATAGCTTAAGACGTATATTACAGATAGAAGTGGCCATAGGAATGGTATTCACCTAGATTATTAAAAGTTAAACCCTCTCTTTCTTCATAATTGTGTTGACTGGATATATATAACTGGATTGACTGCAGGAATACTAACTAAAGGACTGTTTAATCTAAACTTTCCTGGCATATATGCTAGCACATGGCAAGGGAAGGAAGGCAATGCTAGAAGTCAAGTCACATTCTTACATTTTAAAAGCAAGAAAGCGTAAACTCAGAGGCATGATTAGATAAAACTTCTCCTTTTGAATTGCATCTATGATCTTGCTGGCTACATACTCTGCATCATAAATAGGAAGAAAAGGGTGGTTTCTGGTGAAAAAAGAAAGAAAGCATTATGAAATTCTAAAACTTCACTTTTGAAATGCATTCTGACACAGAAATAATTTAACTAAATCATTTAAGACTATTCCCTCTTCCCTATAAGTAGTCTTGAAAAGGAGTCTCCAATCTCTTTGTACCTGCTATCACTAAAATAAATGGAAAACACTTTGAATTGTGTGAATTTTAATGACTTTTGTGCAAGCCCTGCTCTGAGCCCAATGTAGCTGATGCCCACAGTGACTGTAGTGTTGTAAACTTCCAAGCCTAGCCATACTATGTGCTGTTCTATGCATAATAATTCTGCCCTCCACACACCTTCTCTGACTCTACTGGAGCTACTGAGGTGACAGCTAAATAGGCCAGAACCAGGCTTGCTTCCAGTGAGGAGGAAGGCTGTGCTCTACATAATATTGCTACTACAGGATGATGAGTGTTGAAAGGAGGAGCAGAGAGCTGAAAAAACAAGATTGCTACTGCAATGGCAAATTCGGTGCCTCCCATTGCTATAACCATAGAGCCACCTACCAGATACTACCACAACAGCTATTCTCACTCAAAGCAGTATAGTACCTGCTAATATAGATAGAAGGCATAGTTGTTAATGACAGATCATGGTTTCCTGACAGCCATAACTGTAATCACTGTGCCAAAATTACCTGGGGGCAGAGAACCGCAACATTTCTCATTCTACTGACAACGTTGCCTTAAATACTGCTGTGCATCCCTAACCATTCCTTAACTACGAGATCATAGCACATCAGTTATTAACTGTATGCAAGTTTTGGATTTCTTACGTCAAAAGACGTATGTGCCAGTAGGGCAAAAATACTGAACTGAAAAGCAAATCAAGCTTATAATAGTTAGGGACTGAATATGGATACTGATTATTTTTCACAATGAAATAGTACACATCTAAATTTTACTTACTGGCTTTGAAAATCTTCAGCTAATTCAGTATTGATAAAAGAAGCGCAAATGATTGTGATTTTAATGCCTTGTTTTCCTGCATGATACAGTTCTGAAGCTAAGGCTTCCATCATTCCAATGACTGCATGCTTACTTCCAGCGTAATCTGAAATGTGAAGAGGAATTACCCAAAATATGTCAAAAGCAAAACTGTAAGTGTCATATATACGATTTAATGTATTCTAATATTATTTAAGCCCTGGTATTACTTATTTATATAGCTTGTAACTGGTATTTTAAGGATGCTGTGCATCTTGGTGATGCTAATGAATGTTGTGCACCTTGGTGATGCTCTGAATATTAATGGCTCTTCCCATGACTGTTCTACAGTTGTGTAAAGGTAAGATTAATCCTTTCCAGAGGACTTTTTTCAGTGCACTATAGAGAGATATAGAAGATGAGCTTATTCAACATGTTATCTCCAGATACTCAGATATTGTTTCAGTTCACAACATCCTCACCCTTTAATATCAGAGGTCACATTTCAGTAAGAACTAATTCTGATGGTAAAATCTAAATACCCTCCTTATAAATGCTGCTCCAACCTATTACTTCTTCTGATTTGCCCTGCAACTACAATGACATTGTTTCCCATGAAGACTGAATCTTGTCTGACTTATTGTTTGATGAACATATGGAACATCCTTGAAGATAATGAAAATTTGCCCTCACAAGGCCCTGTGCAATTTGATCTAAGTTGGGTCTGCTTTTATTTGGAGATATAGACCAAATGACCTCCAGAGATTCCTTTCAACCCAAATTATTCCACTGTTTTGCAGCCATTAAGAACCTTATTTTAATACAGGAATGTACATGTGGTTTCCTAAAGCTTTTTCAAATGTAGACACAACAAAATCCAATTTTGCTAAGAGAGTAATTTCATACAGTTTGAAAATGCATAGCTAAGGTGTAAAAAGCTGTAATGCATGGATAGGCAGGCCCACTCTCATGAGCCTTACAATTAAAATGAAAACTGGACACGACCTATTTTCAAAACTGAATCTGACCGAATGATAACAGGCAAATAAACAGTACAGTAACACCATGAATCACAGTGAGATACATATTACACTTAAGTTCACATTCTTATAGGGTAGGTGACCTAATGAGATAATGAGTTCAGAATGGCACAGAAGCTGGGGGATACACTGGGCAGCAGACCCATCTGATAAAGTACTCAGGACGGTAGCAGACAGCTCTCCTGAGTGAAACAGCTAAAACTATGGAGCTGTTAAATAGCTCAAACCACTGTTGATTTAAAAAATAATTTTAATGAAACTTCTCCCCAAAATCCTTCTGGAACTGAAAACTGGTTTCCAACTATAGTTCCAGGTATAAACCACGTATGTCTCAGGACTCTGAAAAATTCAGGTTTTCCCAATCTGCAGAAAACCTGGTGTGAGGAAGTACTAGACAACCTATATGCAAGGTTCCATTCCAGGCACACGTACAAGTATTGTCCTTCCTCTATGGAGGAAGTAGGCTGCAGTCAGACAGTAACACCTGTAGTGAGCTCCCTGCACCACCCAGGCAACATGCCACCATCATCCTCTTCAATACAGCACCAGCATTCTTATCTGCAGGCTCTTCCCGAGTGTTTGTATGTCAGTACAAACTACTTAAGCAGTTGGGATCTCCATAAAAGTAACTGTTATGTACATCTAATTTATAGCAGCACTTGATGATACTAACCTGACATTCTATAGACTCCCAACAGTCCTGCTGCACTGGCTGTGCTAACCAGGTGTCCACGGTTACAAGTCATCATGGCTGGAAGAAAGGCCTTGCAAGTCTAGGAGACATATAAAAAACCCCTTTATAACTGGACATGCCAAAAACGTTGCATTACAAATTAGGGTTTACAACCTGATTTGCTTTCTGGGGCTTCAATATACAAGAAGCCCAAATGACCTTCTATCTCTTTATTTACAGAATGCATCAAATAGAATATAAATACATACAGATATAAATGTAGGTATAATATAAACATATGTAGAATATTTACAGAATTATAAATGAAACAGCATTTCCTTGACTGACTGATCTCTATCTGAAGATCTTCTGGCATTAAAATCATAGTGTTAAAAGCATCAAGGTGTGTATTTTCTCTGCTTCCTGTTTCCTCATGGTTTGTCTATTTGAGACTATTACCAAAGGTTTGGTACACAAGAGGGAGCTAGAAGTCAACACATCAAGAGGAGTTCAGTGGTCTGTAGGCCCTACTACAAACCAAACTACCGGGCAACACTGGAACCTCAGATCACTGCTGTGGGTGATGCTAACTATATAAGGAGGACGCTAATGTTTTATGAAGGGGAAGAAAAGGCAGAAGACGAGCAGTAAGAAATTTTTTTCAATAGCTGAGATGTCCTGCAATGTCTATTTGACTCCAAATATGTGTGCCTAGTAAATGTTTTTTCAGTGGAGGTCTCATGGTCACTGTCCTCCTGCCCTATACCTCTTCAGACCTGTCAGGAGGAACATCTCTCCCAGTCTCTCTGCCTTGAGTATTTGGATAAATGATGCACTGTGGGCTGGGAAATGATTAGAGAGCTTCTATCTGCAGTGATTTTCCTTTGAGAAATGCCATTTAGGGAGGGAGTGCAATGCTACATTTTTCCCTGATGCAGGCTGCTCACTCAGGCAAATAAACAACAAATGCAAGAGGGGGCAAGAGTAACACTCCCTCACAAAAACCGTCCTAAAGATCTACTGAGACCCCAAATAACAAATTCCTTCAGAGTTATGGAAACAAAGCAAAGCTAATACATACTGCCCAGATTAGTCTTCTCTGTAGATTAAGCAGACGGTGACTAGGAATGAAAATACAACCTGAAGACTGACACATGCAACCTAGATAGAAACATCTAGGTTGGAAAAGACCTTTAAGATCACCGAGTTAAACTGTAAACTTAACATTGCCAAGTCCACGGCTAAACCACGAGTGTGCCTCCCCGGATGCTACAAGTCTATTAGAGCAAGCCTTCTGATGCCAGCAAACACCAGGAGCTGCCATGTCAGCACCAACTTTAGCCACAGCTCTTACAGACAGAGCATGTTTCACAACACAGTGCCATAATTTTTTAATCTACCTAAGTGCCCAGGCAGGCATGTGTTAACATCACTGAGGCACAGGGGGGAGACTGCCAATTTGGTGTGTCTCCAGTTACAGGATGATTAAAAATACGTGTCTCCCCCCATTCAAGGTCCTTCCCATCCCTGTTCCAAACTGCATCCCCAGGTAGGTACCACCATGGTGATGTTTGCACTAAAACACTTGCCTGTACCTTTCAGTCACACAGGAGAGGAAAAAAAATACATTACCCAGACTTGAGAGAGGAAGTTGACTCTTAAGGTCTTTTCAAAATCTGCATCTGGAATGTCACAGAACTTTTTCCCAAGCAGTACACCACCATTATTGATTAGAACAGTAACATCCCCAACTTCTCTTCTAACCTGAACAAAAATGATGAGCAGAAAGCTTTAGAAGGTATCCTTGCCTCTTGTGTTTCACTTATCAAAATGTTTAGTGATATTTGCAATTGTTTTTATCTCTAACGGAAATGTTAAGTATGTAAGAACTGTTGTATGGCATCAGATCAAAGGTCCCGCTCTTTGCTGATACGTGTACAGCAAATTCTGTAGGCTGGAGCTCTGTGGCTGATTCAATTAATGTGTTTGGAGATCAAGAGTAACTTGAGTGCACAAAACACACATTTTGAGAGTGTTACATGAAGAAAAAACAAATAATTTCAAAATGTTCATCATTGACAGGTAAGTCCAACAGAAAAATTACTTAGCTAAACTAATAATTTTGGAGCACTTCTTTGCAAGAAGCAGAAAGCTTTTATGGGAACAGGGATTTGATGCCAACTGAAAATGTTTTTTTGGTTTTTTGTTTTTTTTTTTTAAGAGATTTGACCTTGGTAAATTAGAAAGTGAGTTTTTTCCTTCCAAAAAGGGGATTATAAAAGAATTGCTGTTTGATTTATAGTATCACTCCAAGTAAAGATCAAGTGTCACATTTGAAGTATTGACCACAAAACTGCAGGAGTCATATTCACAGTCTTACACAGTCTTCTGTACTGCCCAAGTAATGGGCAAAGATCAGGCTCCTTGAACACTGTGTGTTGGGTCAGAACAGGCCAGAACACTCAACAACTTGCTCATCTCTGCAGAAATACTATTATGGTACAATATATCCTTGCCCAGGTAATGCTGTAATACCACTTGTAGTTCTTAACATCTAGTACCAATGGCCCCAAATGAAAGTTTTTTTCTGTGCACTGTTAGCTGGCTGTGCCTGTAAAGAACAGGTAAAATAACCCTTTGCTGACTGCAAACATGAGAACTGTGGTTCCAGACAACTTAGATCCCGAATCCAACTTACCCTTTAGAATTACTTTTCATCGGGAACATTTCTTGAGCAAAAACTTTTATTTCAAATTTTCATAGCCATGTTCAGAAAAAAAGTAATCTGTTCTGGTTAAAACTAAAAGCAACAACCACAAAACAAAGAGGCCCCTGACAACTCATGGGAAATGAATGTTACATTTCAAGGCTATTCCAAACCAATCTATCAAGATTCATGTCTTGTGAAATATTTTAGCTAATTTCTCTGATGTATGCCTTTGGACACAAAATGTCGAAGATGTGGCCTGACAGTCATGTACATTAAATACATACACTGAGAATTTAACGTAAGAAGAATTTATCCTTGGCTAAAATGGCAGAGTAGCTAACTGGATTACAGGTGAGGTTATACTGGGAAATGTTTTCAGGCAGTATGTAGTTTAAAGACCAGTAAAAATTAATAATGTTAATTTAATGTCTGATTTCTGGACTCTGATAATGAAAATAATAGTTTACAAAGCCTTATGTCAGCACAGGAGAAGCGTCTCATTTAAAATGGGTTCTCTCTCCACCTTACCTTCCAGCTGGACTGACCAAAAATTAAACTGAAGCTGACTCATCAGTTTGACTGGAGACTAGCCATGTACTGATGGTATTTCTGAAGCCATGACACCCCACATCACCCTGACAGAACTACAGTTTTCTAAACAAGTGGACAAAGAAAAGGACATCCCCCTTAAAATTGCCACTCTTTGGGGTTTAAAAAATTGGTATCTTAAAGAAATTTTAAAGCTTAAACAAGCTTTACATGGAGCTAACCTCTCCTGCATGTTTTTACTATACCCTTAATCTAATCTCGCAAGAAAGACTGGAAACAGATACATCTAGACAGAACAAATTAAAAGACAGTCACTTTCTGGTGAACATAGTTTAAGTTCCATCTAGAAGCTACTTGTCAAAAAACCGAAAGTCACTGCCCTGTGTGATTACTGACCTTTAGTGAATAGCACAGATTCTAGAGACAAAAATATCAAGATTCTATATACTATTAAAAAGAAGCAAAAAATTAGACGCAAGAAGCTGTATCTTACCTTGTCTGCCTGTTCATAGACCTCCTCCCTGTTGCTGCAGTCACAGTGGTAGGCAAACACTCGTTTAGCTCCATTTTTCTGAGCTAATCTGCATGTTTCTTTGTTACCTTCATCATCAATGTCCCAAAGGACCAAGGTTGCTCCTAAAGGAGCAAAATTTAAGGCAATCTGTCTTCCAACCCCGTTTGCGGAGCCCGTAATGAGCACTATTTCCCCAGCAAAACTTTTTTGGCGTGGAGGAAAGATGAGGAAGATTAAGTTCTCAAGAGAGGAAAAAATCAGTAATGTCAGGAACTGCAGTATCTTCAGGATGCTTCTGAAGTTGAACATGATTTCTCAGGCACAAACACCGCTCTTCTGTCATAGAAATCCAGAAATACAGTATGTTACTGGCCCTCCAAAACACTGACACACTGACTAAAGGAAGACTGACTTTGGATCAGCAACTTCTTTCACTCTGTTCTTTTGTGCGAGTACAAAATACATTACTAAAGACCGGTTCTGTGAAAGCTGCCAGCTCTTACTTACTAAGTAGGATTAAAGCAAATACCTCCTGTTAGACCCTACACACCTGCTGCTTTGTCCCAGAGCACTCAGCTTCTATCTCTGCTTTTAGGGTTTAGTAACGCACAATACAGGTATGTTGCAGCAATGGCTCTAAAGTGCTTTGTTTTCATAGCAAGGTGGTATTAACCTGACCCGAAAAAGGACTGAAAACAGTGGCATGGTATCAACCTTAGGAAGGAGGGTGTCTTCCTTAGCAGAAGGTATGATCTGCCGTTTCAGAAGGCAAATAAGAAATCCACACCGTGTGTATGCTCCAGTGCTGTGCGGCCAAAACTACACAAACCGTATCAGTTTGAAAGCAAATTGACAACCACAGAGCAAAGCACGGCCGTGAGTTATGAGCCTTGATTTTCACCCCGCATTTAGACCACACCACTTCCTGTACAGCACTTCAGAGGAGAACGGCAGGGATAAGAAAGAGCGCCCATCACCGACCCGCCGGCCTCAGGCAGCCGGGCTGCAGCCCGGGGAAGTGCCCCCCGCCTGCCCGCGGCCCCCTCCCCACCGCCCCACTGCCCCACCGCCCCTGTCCCTGCCTCCGCGGGCCGGCACCGCCGCCCCCCCCCCCGCCTGGCCCCAGGTCCTGCAGCCGCCGCGCTCACCGCCGCTCCCTGCCGTCCGCACCGGCCTGCCCGCCGTGGCACAGCGGCTGGCCCGGCCCGGCCCGGCCCGGGGCATTGGCTATAGGGAGGGTGGAGGCGGCCCGAGGAGCTGCGGGGAGCGGGGCAGGGGCTGAGGCTGCTGCTGGGGCAGGCGGCGCTTCATCGCCGGGCGTGTGCGGGAGGGCGCGGCTCTAGGGAAGAGGCATCAAGCCTGGGTGGCCTCCCAGAGTCGGGTGTCGGGAGGAGCCGTTTGTTCCCAAGTTAGGAGCCTGCCGTGCTGCTCGGTTAAATGAGCAGTAATCAGCGCTGTTTAAGGCAGTATAAAGTCACAGAACTACAGAATGGTTTGCGTTGGAAGGGACCATAGAGATCATCTGGTTCCAGCCCCCTGCCATGGGCAGGGACACTTTCCACTAGACCAGGTTGCTCAAAGCCCCGTACAGCCTGGCCTTGAACACTGCCAGGGATGGGGAAGCCACAGCTTCTCTGGGCAACCTGTGCCAGTGCCTCACCACCCTCATAGTGATGAATTTCTTCTAATATCCAATCTGACTCTACCCTCTTTCAGTTTAAAGCCATTCCCCCTTGTCCTGTCACTACAGGCCCTTGTAAAAAGTCCCTCTCCAGCCTGTAGGTCCCCTTTAGGTACTGGAAGCTGCTCTAAATTCTCCCCAGACACCTGACTTCTCCAGGCTGAACAAACCCAGGTCTCTCAGCCTGTCTTCATAGGAGGGGTGCTCCAGCCTCTGAGCAACTTTGTGGACCTCGTCTGGACTTGATAAAAATAAATAAAATAATAAAATAAAACCCCACAAACAAACAAACCCCCCCAAACCAACTATATGTACCTATCTATGAGAGGTATTTTTATTCTTGAGTGTCCAGTAACAAGTTTTCAGATGGCTGGCATTAATTTTAACCATAACAAAACTGTTAAATATATGAAACATGGCAAATGCACGGATCGATCAATTTAAGTTAAACCTTCCCTCCTGAGCCCTAACTGCCCAAGCCAGGATGGTAGCATCTTGCTTGAGGAAGGACCTGGCCATGGATTTGGAAAGCAAGTGCTCTTCCATTCCTCTGCTGCTACTTGATTGTAGTTATGAAGTTAAACACTTCTTAGTTTATATCATAAATTGCTGTTCTCCAGCTTGCCTGCTTGCTGGAATGGGAATGAAAAGGAAGATGCTGATCATAAATGTCTCCCCAGTGAAACCACCTGATTACCATTGTTTCACATCTTTAAAACAACAGTTGTGGTTCCTCAGTTTTCGTACATACATTATCCAGCCTTAAAACTGAACTGCCACACCACTGTACTGTATTTTTCTTCGTGAGATTGAACAGAAAGCCATGTTCCCACTTAGGCCTGTAAGGCTGTGCTTTTCCTGTTACGTTCTCAGCTTGTCTTGATCACTGTGACATCCTCCACATACTTTCCTTAGAAAGGCAAATGTACAAATTTGCTGTACTTTGCATTTTGAAAAAGTGATACTAAATGTCTTCTCTTGCTCATCAGCAAGTCATAGAAGGAAAGAATTTGGATGCAGTCAAGTTGTGCTCTGGTCCACACTGTTCAATTCATGGGGAATCATGGGACAGTCTTCATTTCAGCTGAAATAAAATGTTAGTTCACATAAATGGATGCAATTTACATCAAGAAATATGGAGGGAAAGTCTATGCTGTCAGTGCTAATAATTGTATGGAAGTGATGTACTTCCATGCACAATTTACCATTGCGTACTCTATTTAGATGTCAGAAAAAGGTGGTGAAAACCCCCCCAACAAAATAGCCTGGCTTTGCTTCCCAGGGTGTAATGTCCATATTCTCCAGAAGAAGACGGGGTGCAGAATGATGTCTTCTGTTAGTCAGACATAGAAAGTCTTTTCTTCTGTACTCTGACCAGTTCTTTCTGTCAAATGATATTCCCTGTCTCCCAATTATTTGAAAATACTAAAGTTATTTATGACTGCAGAACTGTATATTCTTTTCTCTCTTCAGCCCTTTTCAGCTTGAATAATAAGCAATTGGGCTGTTCGGCTATTTCACTCAGATGGGCTGTTTATCTGCATGTGTGTACAATGGCACTTGAAAGTACTCTTAAATAATCTGCCTTTTTTCTTGGATAATGAAAAAATGGATTCTTACATTAGTGACAGTGGTGCTTAGGACTACACAGGTGGGTTGTCTGATCTTTTTGAGCCGTACTAAACAGTACCCAGTGTCACTGTGCCACTATGGAGCCTAATAGTAATGGGTAATGGGAAGGAAATATGGTGTTCCTGCTCAGGAAGGATCTCTTTTCTGAGATCACTTCCTGAGATCAGGGTCTCGGGTGGATTCAGGGGTTCTAAACTCCAACAGTAGTGTGACAGTAGAGGGCAGAAGGCAAAGGGGATGTGCTGATGGGTGTCTGGGCACTTAGGCAGACAAACTGCGATGTTTTATAGTAGCCGGAGCTTTCTCAAGGCATGAACCAATGCGTCTAATGAGCTTGAGAAATCAAATAGCCTTAAAATCACCAAAGAAAGAAGAACAATGCCAGGAAGAAGTGCAACCAGGAGACCAGAACATCTGGAGTAACCTAACAGTGCAAGGGAGCCAGAGATCTTTAAGATCCCAAAGCTGTGCAGGATTTGAAGGGGAAGGTGTCCTCAGTAGTGAGGAATATTATTCAAAAAATTATTTTCTCTAAGCATTTCTCTTTACCTACTGCTACACCCATTCATTTTACCTCAGGTTAAGCTTAGCTAGTGATTTAATTGCTCTTTTCACTAAGATACTGAGAAAACTGAATGATGATGGTATTCACATTTACACAAAGAAGGCAGACTAGACGTGTCAGCATGCTGCCATCTTTTTTGGCCAGTCCTCACCAGTGACTTTAGCCTTTTGAGGGCCCACAAGGATTGGTGCTGGGACAGTGAAGACTGGTATGTTTAGAAGGCATTTGAAGGCATTATGTGTTGTGAACAGTCATGACGCTGTGAACAGATTCATTTTATGCAGTGATGGTGAAACTTCTTGAATCTAAGGGATCTCTGAGGAATTCAGAGGGGAAGCTATTACTTCTGAACCTCTTAATCTAGCCTGAGAAACCTGTTTAAGTAATTTTTATCTCCATTGCTACAGAGAAACTCAGTATAACGGATACCTGGGAGTAAAACACCTCCCGTATCCTGAGCCTGCTGATCTGCAGATGGGTAAGTGAAGTTTAAGCATGCATGAGCTCCCATGGAAGGCCTTTGCTTTGACTATTTTCCACTGCTTCTGTTCAGATGGAAGCTGACAGCTTCTTTATTTTTCTGGCTGGTGGGCAAAGAATGAGTTAATCACTTTTTGAGAATGATTTTGTCACATTGACTGTGTCACCAGCAGTCACAGCATGACAGCTACGCCGTGTTCACAAAATAATAATGATATTTTCTATGTAATATTTTTCTGGATGGAGAAATGTAGTGCAGTTGAAAGTTCAGCCCCATTTCCTACCCTTATCAGCCAGTTGTTTGCAGAGATGAAGATGGAAATGTAAAGAATTGTGAAAGTCCCACTGTAAAACCTATTTTTACTGCAGGTCATGATTGAAAAATGCTGGTGTACATGTTCTAAGAAAGGCTTATGTGGCTTATCTGCCTTAAGTGCTTTTATGAGAGAAATTCACCTGTTATTTATACCACTGCTGCCATTGTCTTCTGCTCAAGAGAGAAAGAAAAAGAATTACCTGAATAAGTGATTCAGAATATTTTCCAGAGGCATTAAGGCTAAGGGTTAAGATGCAGATTCTCACAAGAGTGTAGGGAATAGTTTTCATAACGCAGTGTCTTGTAAGTCTATATGGACTGGAGTTGAAATGAAGTCTGATGAGAGGTTTGCAGTTGGAGTGCAAGTCGATGCATACATTTAAATTTAGTAGGGAAATACAGGGTTGGTAGGATCTTTTGCAGTCACTGTTGTGCTGAGAAAGGGAGTAACAGCAGAAAAGCAAGAAACAAAGGTCATGTATGCCCCTATATACTTAGAGACATGGATAGCTATGGAAAGGTTTACTGCATCAAGGCATCATAGTCTGTGTGCAAGGATATGCCATCCTTTTCCTTGAGGAAGTAGTGCAGTGCTTTTAACAAACCGTTTAGCAGAGCAATGTGCTTCTGTGATGACTGTTTAACCTTGAGAGATTTCATTCCATGGTTTCAGCAAGGATTACAGTAAATGCTCAATTTAGGTAAAGTCACAATCTAATTAAACAAATTCAGTCTAAATCCCTGCTGGGCCAGTAAAGATTTGTCTGTCAAATACCTCTAAGCGTTTTCATTTTCTATAGCAACAGTTAATTGGATATGCAACTGTCAGTTTAAATGCTCTAAATGAAGCTGATGGGATTAGTAATTGAATGCTCAGATTAATGAATTACAGCTGGCTTTGCTACCCTGTTCATTGCTTACAGCTATGTTCATGATAGCTTATCAGGTGGGTGGAGTGATGGTCTACACTTAGAATATAGTTACGCTATTATGAAATACAATTGTGAGATAGGTTTAATGTAATTAGTACAGTCCCGTTGGTATGTATGACTATTTTTAATACTGTGGGCAGCAAAGGATTATGATCAAAATATTAAAAGCAGAAAATCTAAAAGCAGACACCTAATCTCCGCAGCTGGGACTTGAAACTGAAGGTCTCAGTTGTTGCCCAATTAAATGTATACCATTGTCTTTCATGATTTGAGTCAGAAAGCAAACCTCAGTGTTGTGGGTGATGAATTGCATCCAAGGCTGTGAGTGGAGGCTGACAAAGGGATT